AATGGAAGTTGGTCCAAAAACATGTGAAGCTCTGCTTGGGCGAGGGGATTGAGGACATGACCCCGAGTCAGAATATCACAAGCCCATCGAAGGTTCTTGAGAGGGACTTCGTCCTCAAGAACATTGAAGGGCAAGTGAGAGAAAGCTGCGAGCAGAAATTGAGCTTGCTTCCGCTCAGCTGGATTAGGGGAAGATGGAGGCTTGTAAGGTGGAAAGATCTTATCTGCGAAGAGGGCAAGCCTCAGTCTCTCTGTCCAGCAAGGATTTGGCAGAAGGGAAGGTGTGGATGCTTCTATTCTAGGAGGTGGAGCAAGGGCAAAAGGAACAAGGGCATTAATATAATCGAGCCAGTCAGAAGAACAAATCTTCGTCTTCTGGGCTAAGAATGATAAATTGTACCCTTGTGCCTCTTCTAGGCGTCGGGCGGTGTGCACTATCTTTGTAGGCATGGAGGATGTATACCATGCCACAAGCAGATTCTCCTTAAAACTGCGTCGATGATCAATGGGCACGTAGGGATAGACCACCGAGCTTCGCGCAAAAGAAGGGAACTCTAAAGGGTCAGTAAACTCGACAAAGTGATGGTTGATTCGTTCCCTCAAATCATAGGCCTCAGGTTTTGACCAGCTTGTCCAGTCAGAAGCCCCAGAAGAGGAAGAAGTTGCAACCTTATCCCATGCAGAGGGTTGTGAAGAAGAACTTCCCATGTCCATATTTGCAACTTTCTAAAAGGTTTGAGAGCAGTTTGTTCGAACTGTAAAGGTAGGTCAGAGGGAAAACTTCTTATGTTTATGTTTGTAAGTTTCTAAATCGAAGGATTAAGGGCAATATGTTCGAAGTCCAAGGGTTGATAATTTGCAAAGGCATCCATGACCTGAATATAGAAAGGAGGGTAAAGGTGACTAATTAATGCATGGAGGTTCTTTCAAGGAAGAACAGCATCATCATATGACTCTTCGTGTGCTCGACCAATGGAAGGAAAAATTGATTCGGCCATAAAAAAATGTATCAGTCTGTTCGAATACTAAGGTAATGGGGGTGTTCAAAAGATTGAATGAGAGTTTGATCCAGATGATGAATGACAGTTGCATTTCTGGGAGAATGCAAAACCCATGCACGTTTTAAGGCGTGGGAAAAAGACCTTGATTCACTAATATCACCAAGTATTGGGTATATTAGTGCGTGGGGTAATGTTGGTTACATATTTTGTACAAGCCAATTACAATTCGACCCGTGGCAAAATAAAGATAATACAGGAAGACTATTCAAGTCTTCGATCCTAATCGTATACGTGGCAGTTAGTATTGGTTATTACGAGATCTGAGTAACAGTGGATCAACAAAGAGATGCAAGGTGATGTGGCTTCAACAGTTACTCACATTTCAAATTCAAATTTAGGAGGGAAGCCTAACTGCAAGTAATGGCGTAATGGAGCTAATCTTGAGGCAGCATGATCAGCGATCATGGAGGAGCAGTTCGACGGTTAGAAATGCAGTTCGATTGTCATCCTTAAGCAGTATAAATAGCAGAGAAGGCCCCAGAAAAAGCCCCCAAACTTAGATCCAAAAAACCAGTCTTATTCTACTTATTTTCCTTTCTAGTTTTACATTTCCAATCTTATATTTCCTGTTCTTTACATTCCTGTACTTTAAATTCCTACACTGCACTTCGTTCATAGGAGTAGTTTCAGGTAGTAGATTGTCGCTGTAAACCTCTACGAGACTGAGTTTGGATCATTGTAAGTTTTTCATTTTAATGAGATGCTTCAATTGTTCTTCATTTAATTGTTATCTTGTTTAATTCTCGTAAATCAAGCCACCAGTAAAAATCCTTTTCAATGAGGCTGAAAGAACTAAAATACAATCGTCTGATAATTGGTTAACAATTAATTCTCTGTAAGGACTAATTGATCCTTGCTGGCACGCTCGCAATTACAAAAATAACCTTCGAAAGCCAAAAAGCCAACAATATGTAAATATAACATTTTATAAATACATAATATATGTGTTGTTCATCAATTTTAATACTAACTATCATGTTGACAATGCATTAATGTTGATGGAAGACCCACAACAATTTAGATTTTAATTATACTTTTGTTTTATTTATTCAGTGAATTCTAAACAAATGTAATAAATTCTTATTTTTATTACTTTAATTATGCAATATCAACATTTTCTTTTAAAATTACGTATATTTTATGCTAACAATTTAAAATATATTTGACATAATCATGAATAGTTTTTTTAAATTCAATCCCCGTGCATAGCACAAGTGACATAACAGTAATTATAATTTGCATGTAACATTTTGTCTTATTAGCTTTTTAGCCTATTTTTTCTTTTTATAACTATTTTAACCCAAATAGTATATGCCAAGCATTGCCATGGAAAGAAAAGAAATTAAAAAGAAAAATTAAATGAAATAGAAACTTTTCTTTCCCTTTTCCTCCTCAAATTCAAGATTGATTCAAACACACTGTAAGTGATTTTTGGTGGAGAATATAAACAGTACCCACTGCTGGAAAATCCATTTTCAAACGTCGCTAAAAGTACTAAAAACGTCGCTAATTCTTTTTGTGACGTTTAGTACCAAACGCTCATGACGCGGCCGTCGCTATAACTTTATGACGTTTGGAAAACGTCGTTATATTAGTATAGGCGGCGTTTTTAAAAATGCCGCCAAATGTCCTACTAACTGGACTATGACGTCACTATGACATTTAGCGACGTTTTTGAAAACGCCATCATAAAAATTTATGCATTTTAAAAATTTAGCCGTTGGGGTGGGATATAGTGATGTTTTTTAAACGCCGCCATAGCCTTTTTTTAAAATTTTTAAATTTTGTTAATTTTATATGGTTGAACAAAAAAAATACCTGTCAAGCAATTATTAAGAACTAATAATTGATGTTTATTAAAATAATTAAACTAAGCTTGAAAACAAAATTAAAAATAAGAAACAATGCATTGCATACCTAAGAATAGCAACAATTCAGACTTTAAATACATCAATTAAAATCAAAATGGTCAAGAAGTGTAATTTGCCCAAAAAAATTAAAAAGGAATAGAAAGCACACTAATATGGATTGATCTAATACCCAGTACAGAATTTTAGGGTTTTTATTTTTATTTTTTATACCTAACATCGCTCAATCTAAAATGAAGATAGATCACACATAAAACAATGGTGGGTTGTCTGCGGTTGACAAGTCAATTGGCCATTAGTGGTGTGGTTCAGTTGCTATTTTCCCGCTAACCCACCAACTCCATGCCAAAAAAGAGCACAAACACATTGCTTAGTTGGAAAATGTAATGACTTAATTTTTCTCAAATTATCACAACAAAGAAAGCAACGTAATAATATGAACACAAGCAAAATTAAAAGAAAATCTATTATATGTCGGGGCATAATACAATTCAGCCAATTCAATTAAACAAAATGAAAGAAGCAACTGTCAAAAACTTTGATATGGGAAATGACTATTGATTTGTCATCTTCACCTTCAAAAATTGAATCATATATCTGAAACACACCTCAGCTGCCCAATCTCCCCGGTGAGATTGATTGACCCTATCATCTATTTTAGCTAAAGTGAGAATGTGTTTCAACCAATAATAATATGAAACACAGACAGGGCAATTCACCGTCTTTTTCTTTTTTTAATGACAATACAGTTTGATCACTGAATCAGCACCCACAGTGAATAACCATGGTTGCCTAGGGTGGAACTTGTAGTCCATTACTCCTATAAAAGGCAAAATGAATTAGAGAAGCCACCAAAAATATTATTAACCCAGATATTAGTAAGTTACACTCTGGACATTTATATTCAGAGATTTCAGTATCTATATTCACAAGGGCGCATTCTATGTTGCATGTCATATTATTATTTCCACACAAATAGTGTACCTTTTGCGAGTAAAATCAATAGTAGAAGGTGCCAAAAGCAAGGACCTGGGTTATCAGTAAGGAGAGGCTAGTTCGATCCCAGCCAGCCCTACCACATCGCAATGAACCAAAAACAAAACTGGCAATACATAACTACTATTTTTGTAACTGAGAATCGATTAGAATACAATCATGCAATGAGTCAACAGTAAAGCTCTGCCAGGAGCTTAACAACCTGCCTCCCACGAGGTCAACTTTTTTTGTCAAGTATAATTAGGCCAACTTAAGAGAGGAATCAGGGTTGGACAAGGAGCAAGCCAACCCACTACTCCCATCAAATCAAGATTCCACAGAGAGAACCATCTCCGAAATACATCAAAACTAGAACTAGACTTGGCAGCATGCATATAATAGAAAGCACACTAATATGGATTAGAATAAAAATATCATGCGTCGAGCCTACCACATCACATCGATAAACAAATGTTACTTCGGCGGATTTTTTCATAATTCAGGCAGCAATACTTATATCACATATCAATAAAAATAGCAACGTAGGTGTCATTTCAGAATGCAGCATAACATAAAAGGAAAGTATTTTCCCCTCTCTATAGACAGTGAGGCCAAATGAAGCCCAAGCTTACTCATATAAATTCCAAGGCACAAATAGAAAAAATGCACAAAATTTAGTTATTGGGCCCTAACAGTGTTGAATGGGATACAAAGCACAAAATACAAAGAACACACATCACACCTTGACCTGCAAGTAAAATTTATTAAGATTCCTCACTATTTTCAATTTTCAAGAGCGGGGTATGACTTCTTATTAACCAAAACTACCATCTTGCATTACATATATTAGTCTTTATATGTCCAACGTGCTCAACAGTTCTTAAACCAAGCTACAAAAATGGGAAAAGAGGTATCTGAGAAATTCCTAGTTGGGATACCGGAAAATATGAAACTTTGGAGAGGGAGAGAGAGGAAATGTTGGCCAAATTAGGTGATGCCCAATCTGTATCAAAATGAAATACAAGAATACAAGACCAACCGTATGCATTAAAACAAACTACAAAATTATCAAAAGCATTACCTTAATGAGGGAAACTGGGAAAGAGCACTGTAGCTATTTTAGGATCAAGAAAGCAAAAGGGACTCTGAAAAAAATTTCTCAAATCTTCTCTCATCAAATCCTGCAACTTCAGACATAGAAAGTTGAACAAAAGTCAGCACTTGAATTGTCAACTACACTTCTCAAGGTTTAAAGTTGATTGAAAGAATGGATATCATTTACCAATGTGTTGCAGCAACCCTTTTTTTTATATTTTTCATAATTTTTTTTATTTGGGCCAAACCACTATTGGGCTAGAATCCTAACCACTATTAGGCTAAGCCTTCTTGGTTCTAATTGGGCCAAACCACTATTGGGCTAGAATCCTAACAAATTGATTTTTAATTTCAGGCCCAAAAAGAAAAAAAAAATCCCATTCAATGTGTTTGGTTTCAGTTTTTTAAAAATTGAATTTCTTTTATTTTTCATAATTTTTTTTTATTTTTAGTGAATATTTTTTAAAATTTGAGCAATTTTTCTACATTTTTAGATATACCTTATTTAGATGTATCTAAATAATAAATTATATGTGAAAAAATATTTTCAAAAATTAATAAATACATAAAAATATGAAAAATATACTAAATTTTTATTTTTATTTTTTTGTATTTTTGGTATTTAGAGAATTTTTTAAAGATTTTTTTTCACAAATATTATACTTTCTAAGTGTATTTATATTAGGTGTGTCTAAAAGTTAAAAAAATTACTTAAACTATTAATAAAATTCAATAAAAACAAAAGAATATGAAAAATAAAAAAGTAGAATTTTTTGAAAAGTAAATTTTGAAAAATGGAAACAAACAGAGTTTATGCTAAGCAAAAGGCCACCAATACAATGGGAAGCAAAGATTGCATTTGGAATAATCATATAGGAGTGACTTGTTATCACTCTATTGAGGAAGGATAATTAGGCCTCTCCAGTTCACTGATAAAGTGATAATAAAGGCTTTAATTATTTATTTTACAACAAATAAGAAACGTAATCAAGCATTTACTAAGAGAGAAAACCAATGGAAAAATGGCTGCTTTTGCCCAGGTAAGTAGTTAGGATAAATAAAGCCTAATTTATCAAAAGTGAACTGATATCTATGAACTTTTTCTTAGTATATTACATACTCATCTATTCTGATGAAAGTGAACATGATAAGAGGATAAAGATGGTTTATTAAACAGCATCAATAAACATTTTAAAGACATTGCACTGTAAAAGTTTACCTGGCTAGACTTTTTATCGAAATCCGAAACGGTGACAAGACTATTAAGATTGTCAATTTTCATTTGTTGTTCCCTAATGCATTGATCTCGTGCTTTGTGTGATTTCCTCTATCTCTAGTTTTTGTTGCTTCAGTAAGGCAGCATCTGTCAAAATCTACAAACAAAAAGAAAAAATCAACTCCAATTAGCCATACTATTAGATTTGAAAGGAGCAAGGAATCAACTTTAACATAATAATTATTACTTTAGATAATATGCTTAATCATTATTTAAAAACTATTTGCAAACAAAATGATGTCAAATCCAGAGGGACCAGTTAAGTTAAAACACGATAATTTACACAATCAAGGCAAGCTCTCAATGAACAAATCCATAAATGTTTAACTTTTTGGCTTTCAAAAATCTATGTAACCAACTTGGTGATTAAACTGCAAATACACAAGGAAGTGGTGCTATAATGCAATGTATGATATAAGTAAGATCCTTTAATTTATAAACATTGGAAAATGTTCCATACTTAATATTTTCAAAGTCATTTTAGTTTGATGCCACCCACGTTAACATTTTTGACATTCTAGTTTAGCCCATTTGAACTAGTTCAAGTGTAAAGTTCCTAGTTTTTTTTTTTAACAAATCATTATTTTACAATGACCAAAACCATAAATGAAGTCAATATTGAAACTGGAAACTTAAGAAAGAGGTAACCATCCAACCAACTGTAAGCTACTTTTCAATTGGATACAGCATGAATCATGTAAACCATCACATTTAGGTTTTCTCTTTGGCTCAACTCATTTAAAATTTATGAACTTCCCCATGATAAATTACAAACCATTGGAAAGAAATCAATATACAAAAAAATTTAAGAATATTCAACATGCCCTCACCTCAAAAATAAAAAATTCTAGGAACACTTCAGACACTAACTTCTATTGAATCCATATTATATATTACCTTTTACAGCTAGATTCTACTAAAAAGTACATCAGGGACAAACAATATGGCAGCTACAGTAACAAAAGTATACGTTGAAGTAAAATGTTGTAATCTTACTAAGTTGGAAAAGAATTAAGTGTTATTAAACCAAATAACTAACAAACCTCATTCACTTGAACACAATTTGTTATTCTCTTGGCTCTGCTAGCAAACTGGAGGGTTCCTTTCGTTTCCTCTATGTGAATCTGGATGAAGTAGCCATATTAAAACCATACTATAATGTTAAACTTGATGTAAGATATATATATATATATATACACACATATAACTCGATAACATATTAATAACCTACCTCTTCTGGTGCTAAAGTGCAAATTATAGAAGTTTTGGCATTGCCACCAAGAGCAGGTTGAAGTATGCGAGTGAGCTTACTATCCCGATAAGGAATGTGTCCCCTGCATTTATATTTTGATTCATTTAGACAGTTGTTTTATGAGATGGATTATTAACTTAAGGAGGCAAATACCTTTGCTTTGCACTATCACTTAGTTTGTTAATCACATTGCCAAGAATCATTAATCACATCTCTTAGTAAATGCTTGATTACTATAAGTTTGCTTCGCTTCTTCAAGCTCCACCCCTTACTAACTAATCTGACAAACTTAAACTCTCAAAACCTGACCCTCCATACGATTAGTGGAAATTTCTAGGAAAATAATAAATTAAATTTCAACTCTTAACTCCTACAATTCATGTTCTTTTTGTTTCAACAAGCAAAAAAACTCCATGATTTAAAAAATAATAATAAAATAATTTCAAATCAACCAAAACTTGTTGGCTGCTAGAATCTTGGCTATTTGGGAGCCAAAATCGTGAGAAACCTAACATCATATTTTAATAAGTTTCCTTTCCTATATTTCCTTCTAACAAAGCAGTGCAATAATTTAAATTCAACCCTAGTTTCTTTACATCAACATTTTCTCAGCAACCAAACAAAGACTGCATAAGTATAAAAATGCTCTCAAAAGATAGGACTCTCACCATAGGATGCCCCTGTGTAGTCTTGAGAAGAGAAAGTCGAAGCTGAGATATTAAGCCATGAAATGAAATGAAATCCAGAACAAACAAATAAATTAAATCCAGTGAACAAACCAAAACATGAACAGACCAAAACATGAAATGAAATGAAATCCAGACCTTGTTGAAATGCTCATATTGCCTGTTGCCAAGGCCAAACACTACGTACGAAAGATTAAGCCATTTCTCTCTCCTTTACCCTATAGGCAGTCATATAACACGCCATGAAATCCAAATCTCACTTGGTAAAAGAACCATAGTAACAATAAAAATTAGAAATTAATCAAAATTTACCTCTGAAAACCATTTATAGAACCTTGCAGAATTGTCAGTTGGCTCACCATCTCCATGTCTATACCACAACAAACAAATAAATTAAATACAATGTTATATACCAACAATACACGAGTGTGTATATATGTATGTATGTGATGTGAAGTAAAAACTCACGTAGCTAAAAAGAAAAATGCCTAAATAATATAATGAACTGGAGAAAGAATCAGATTGGAAGAGTTATTGAAATCTTCCAATAACAAGATAGCTTAGCGAAAGTTCATCTTCCTAAATAATTATCCAAAAATCAGATTGGAAGAGTTATTGAAATCTTACATTTTGGGATGATGAAGCCACTAAATAATAAGACAAACAATACAAACAAACTACCAGCTGTTGTAGAAGCAACCGCAGTGCAGAAGACAGATGCCACAAAACGAAACATGGATGTAGCTGCTAAGTGTAGAGCTAAAAATAGAATGCACTGGAGAAAGAACCTAAGATACAAGGCAATGATAGAAATTAATTCAAAATTCCTATTCAGTTTCAGAAGGGTGTGTTTGTGTATGGTGTGAATGTTTATTTGAAAGTACCAGTAAAGCTTCTGGTTGCTAAATGACTAATCTGAGTAGTTGATTTAAATATTGGTAAAACAGTGACAACTTGTTCAAATCAAAGACATATTTGGAGAAAAACAATATATATATATATATATAACGAAGAATAAAATGCAAACGTTGTCAAGTGACACTAACCTCCCAGCCTCAGGACTGTATCCAACGAGATGTTCAAATTAGAGCTGAAAACAATGAAATAGGAACCTTCAGAATGGTGGCTGGGATTGCATATGCCCAAGCTGGATAAAAGTACAAATCTCTCTGTTTGTAGAAAACTGCAAGTCTTCCAACAGTCAGGGACAACTCCGGAAATCCATCAAAAAAAAAAGTTCATGTAACCAATCTCTACACTTCATCGGCACCTACAGAGAAATCAAACACCGATTAACACTTGTTAATGAAAAACAAAATAAAAACGACATGCTTGAAACCTTGTTAATCAGCAGATTTAACAAAATGCGAGAGAGATCAGATCAGATCGAGTTCGGATTTTGATCAGATTAGATCAACTTTCTTGTTCGATTTCGGATCTACAATCTGCGAGACAAATCGAGTTCGAGTTCGATGAAGAAAAGCTAGAGCAAGAACCGATCTAACAAAATGCAAGAGAGATCAAATCAGATCGAGTTTGGATTTCGATCAGATTAGATCGCCTTTCTTGTTCGATTTCGGATCTGTGATTTGTGAGAGAGAGAGAGACAGAGAGAAAGAGAGAGAGAGAGAGAGATGAAGAACAGCTAGAGTGAGAAAGATCGAATTCGAGTCCGATGAAGAACAACTACAGTGAGTGAGAGATCGATATTAAGAGGGAAGAGCAGCTCATGAGAGATTTTGTTACCTATGGTAATTCGAATGGGTTAAGTGTCTGCTAAGTAAAACAGGTTTGACTCATTGAGACCATTAACAGGGCACCACGCCTTGAAAACGTGTTGGCTATTGAGATATAGCACGGCGTTTTGTAAAACGTCTTTGATTCAAGCGCCATTATAGGCAACTTTTCTTGTAGTGACCTAAGGTCAACTTAAGAATTTAAATTACTGAGAAAGAGAATATAATTTAATTGATAAGAAAAAAATTAAGCAAAATGAACTGATGAAGGTAAAAATAATAAAGTATTGAAAAACATTATAGTATATATATATATATATTATATAAGTAAAAGAGGATTTTCGTGATGAGTATTGTGAGAGCTCCAAAACCTCACAATAAATTTTGGACATTTTGAATTAAAAAATGAATTTAAAAAGTGATATTGGCCAATTCATTAAAATTATAGATTTGAAAATATTAATAATTCCATAATTTATAGTTTTCAAAAGGAAAGATAAAACAATATGTATTTTATATCTTTTCAACTTAATTCTCTCCTACTGATTTTTATTTTCTTTAAAAAAAATAAAATTTGCTTCTTACTATATTACTATATTATTCATACCATATATAACTACTCTCAAATTTTTAAAATTCATGATAAAAATTTAGAACCTTCAAAATATTTTGATTTAATTACACACATTTAATTTCTTTTGTACACTTTTTTTTCTTGTTTGATTTGCTTAGTACACTCAAATGTGCTAATATTTATGCCTAAATTGTAAATTTTTTAATATATGTGATGAGTGTGACAAGAAATTAAGTGTGTATGATTGTAAGCACCCTTCCTATTAGCCACATTCATTGATTTTTTTTTTTTCAAAAAAAAATCTGTCTCATCAATTCAATTATTTAATTAATGAATTTTCACACTACAAAAAGACATTTTTTTGGTGTTTTTTATAATGATAACTTCATTTCACAAATAATTAATTATTTTTAAATTATTAAAACATTTTACGTGAAAATTTGCATTAAATAAAAATTTAATAAAATTTAAATTGAAAATTATGGTTTGTTTTGGGACTTCGTTTCTTTGATCAAGTTCTATACTAAATGTAATTTAATATTAGATATATTTTAAGAATAAATATATAACTTCTTAATTGAAGTATTAGAATATTAATAAATATGCCAAATACATATTCATATTTTTTTAATTTTGTTTATAAAAAAAAATTTACAATATTTTTATCATTTTAAAAAATAAATAAATGGGCAATGTGATGGTTGGGATGAACCAAAACGGTTACCTAAAAATTAGATTGATGTATAACATAAAAATCAACCAAATCCAGTGTCTAAACTATTTTTAATATTTGATCCAGTATTACCTCATACCCATCGTAACTTAACAAATTATTAAACATAAGTTTAAATTGATTATTATTAATTATTTTCACTAATTATCTAATCAATTTTTAAACCGAGCCCAAGGTAAAACTAGAACAAGCTCTATATTTTAGATTGACCCATTATTATATAAATTTTTTATACATGATATGCTTAATTATTTTTGTAAGAATTTTTAATATAAATATATAATTTTTTTGCAAAAAATAAATAAAATATGCCAAAAATATACATACTTTTTCTTATTTTTGTTATAAAAATAATCATAATATATTTACTGATTTAAAAAAAAAAAAAGGGTGGGTTAAGTGATCGTGAAATACGTATGAATGAAAATAATTTTTCAAGAATTTAATTGTTGGCATAAAAATTGATCTTAGTCTAACTTCTAAACTACTTTTAATGTTTAATACCAATACTATCTCTCAAATTAGTTCATAATATTCAAAACCTTAGAAATTATAATATAATTTAGCCATAAAATTTAAATTAATTATTACCAACTATTTCTATTAATTGATCGATCAAAATTTTAAATCAGTTCCAAAGTATCATCACAACAATGCTCATTTTTAGGTTAACCTTGAATAATATTTTCATACATAAATACACTTAACTATTCATGTAATAATTTTAAATATAAATACAAAATTCTATCAAAGTTTTAATTTTTGTAATAATTATGCATAAACATGTACATATTTATTATTTTATTATAAAAAATACTAACATATATTTATTCACCAATTTAATAAATAAATGAGTTAAGTGGTTCATACTTAGGCATAAACTAAGACAATTCTCTAATGGTTAGGTCATGGCCAAATTGAAATGAATGTTGAGTCAATTAAATTATGTTGCTTGTGTCTAGCACAACTATAAATTCTCAAGCCAACTCTTATATATTTTATTATAAAAATATTAACATATATTTATTCATCAATTTAATAAATAAATGAGTTAAGTGGTTCATACTCAAGAGATTAAGATAATTCTCTAATAATTAAGTTATTGTCAAGTTGAGATAAATGTTAAGTCAATTAGATTATCTCAGTGTTTAGCACAATTATAAATCCTTAATAATTTTAATATAAATATAAAATTTTATCAAAATTTTAATTTTTTTTATAATAATTATGTATAAACATGTACTTATTTATTATTTGGAGAAATTATATTAATTGTCCCTATAGTTTGAGACTTGTATTACTTTAGTTCCTGACTTTTTATTTGTGACACATTTGACTCTAAATTTTGAATCTTGATCCAAATAAGGACAATTGAAGATACCATTACTCAATTTCAAGGGCAAAGTCATCAGTTTGATCAAATATAAACTAATTTGACAAAAATAAATGTCAAAAAAATATTTTTAAATTTTTAAAAATTATTTCTACCCACCAAAAATAAAATTGTGTAAAATTGATCAATTTTTTACACGTTTATTTATTTATGTTTCTTACCAAATTAATTTTTATTATGTTTTTGGATGATGATTATGTAATAGTGTAATAATTTTTATTATCATTAAATTAGTTTATATTTTTTTAAAAGTCAAATATAACGATAACTTTGATATCATTATTAAACCAATTTATTAAATCAAAAAATTCAAAACTAAAAACATTTCACATATTAAATATATCGATTATACATTAAAAGCCTAACAACCACCCATTACATGATCATCATCCAAACACATAATAAAAATTAATTTGGTAAAATAAATAAACAAATGCATAAAAAATTTATTAATTTTACATAATTTTATCTTTAGTGAGTAGTCATTTTTTTTGTCAAATTAGTTTATATTTTATCAAATTGATGACTTTACCATTGAAATTGAGCAATGGTCTTCAATTGTTCTTATTTGGAAATAAGATTCAAAATTCATGATCTAATGTGTCACAGTTGAAAATACAAGGACCAAAGTGATACGTTCGCCAAACTATAAAGATTGCTAGTATAATTTGCTTTTATTATTTTATTATAATAAAATAATGGAAAATGTTTGGTGGTCACAAATTCTGTGGCTCAAATGGCCCGAAAATGCCAAAACGACGTCGTTTTGGCATTTTCAGAGTTGTTTTGCACTCAAAACGACGTCATTTTGACATTTGCGGGCCATTTGAGCTACAGAATTTGTGGCCACCAATCATTGCCCATATCTATTCACTAATTTAATAAATAAATGAGTTAAGTAGTTTATACTTAGGCATAGTCTAAGACAATTATCTAATGATTAGGTTATGGTCATTGGCCAAATTGAGATAAATGTTGAGTTAAATAGATTATGTCATTTTTAGTTTTTAACTCAACTATAAATTCTCAAGCCAACTCTTATTCTTTTGTATTCATGAATTATGGCATAGGAGAAACTATAATTTTATGCCTAAAGTATATATATTTTTAAATTTTTACAAAATATATAACGGGTAGTTAATAAATTGACAAATATAATTTATTATGTGATTGGGCTACCTCTAACATAAAATAAACTAATTTGCAAAACTTATAAAACAAAATGTATTTATATTTCATCATAAAAATAGGATTTGTAATTTTATTGCACTTTTTTAAAAATACATTATACCATAATTTATTTATTTCTTATAAATAAATTCTATGCTATTATTTAATTTTAAAATTAATTTTTAATTATTTATTTAAACCCGTGCATAGCATGAGTATTATGGTTTATAAAATAATTTTAAAAAATTACACCCGCACTATGAAGATTCGTTAAGCAAAGGTGAGTGAAAGAGAAGAATGAGCAAATGGCCCAATATATGAAATGCTAAAACTAGCGATTGTGAAAAAATTTAAAAGTTGTATTTGATAGGCAAATGCTGATTTCAAGAAAGATAAGAAGATAGGAGTCACTATAATTCATTATTTGTCATTTTTATTTTGTTATTAAATTTTTGATTTAAACAAATTTTGTTAGATTGAGTTTCACAAAAAAATTATTATTATTATTATTATTATTATTATTATATGGCATATGTTTTAAGGCTAGTTATATGTTAATTATAAATTGTGAACATTCACATTGTATTTTGGTATGAATTTTATTTTTTGAAGGTTAGTTGTATGTTTATTGTTTATTGTGAACATTCACATTGTACTTTAATATGGTTTTGTTTTGTCAAAAGTTAATTATATGTTTGTTATTTACTGTAAACTTTCACATTGTATTTTGATTTTCGTTTAGATTTTTTGTTGCATTATTTTTGAAATTTTCAAATTATAAAAAGATTCAAAATTTATAATTTGTGATTTTCTCCATGGAATGCGGAAGAAATTTTCTCCTTAGAATAAGATATAAATTTGCTCCATGAAATAAGGGAAATAGTTTCATTTTAGAATGAGTGAGAGATTTTATCTATAAAATGAAGGACTATTATTATGTATTTGTTTCAAAATAGAAACATGAGCAAAAAATTAGAAAGGATAATTTTGGTCATATTTCATTAAACATGACCTAATGAAATATTCAAAAAGAATAT